TGGAAGCCAATCATTTCATCGTTTCTTCCCTGTTTTCATTCCCATTAGTGCTGATGAATAAGCACGCCTAATGGGTATTCTGTGTGCTTCAATGCCTGAATTTGGCAAGCGGGGTAACATTGATGTGAAGAACGATTGTTTGCCCAACACAAGGTAGATAGCCTCATGAGTTTCGGTTCTACGAGGCCAGCCATTCAGATTCTCCATCCATGCGCTTCGATACGGTGGTAAAGGCTCATTTCGCACGGTGAGTCATGGATTCTCATGAAGAACGATGAACAGCTCAGTGCTAATGCAAAATGCGAATTGGCCTTCGATTTTACACAACCGGACCATTATTGTTCAGTGAACTCTTCAGAAACGCTGTTCAAACCATGGATGTAGGGACCAAGGGTACCGGGCTGCGATAGAGGTCAAGCCGGTAAGACCGAGCATCCCCTAGAATTGGGTTCTGTTTACCTCTGGTTGGATAGAGTAACCACACTACAAAATTTTCTGGACCAGAGTGGCTCTGATGCTTTGAACAATATTCTCGTGCATTCGATTGATTTTATTGCAAATCAGTTTAGTTTAGTCGTTTTTTACTTATATAGTGCCAATCTTTCAATAAATAAATCGAGAAAGCATTAATTGTACATTTATGCTTGCATTATCATCCTTGCTTCTATCGCTGTCTCATTCTTGGAGCTGCAAAGGACGATCAGCATGAGTAGCCTGGGATCAATTTCTTGTCCACTAGCAAAGCTAATTATGGAACCGCTAACCCTTAGGGTGTTGAAAGTTTTGGTCTCAGAAATGTGACATTCCCGACGAGTAGTGCCCTTTCGGAATCACTTCGCTTTCAATCGTTTTTGTCCGAAGATATAGGCTATAGACAGTTATGGTCATTTTTAGATCCTCTGTATGATCGTATGTGTGGGAGAGCACCCTTTGAAATGGGTGTGCCTTGTACGAGATGAGTCAACTCATCGTGAAGTCTTCCTCGCCCATCTTCTTTGCATGTTCCATGAGATTCAGTTCCGTGTTCCCCTGCTATGATTCCTTCTCTGCCTACAGCAGTGAAACTCTGAACTTCCCTTCGCGATAGAATCTCAGCTAATTTTTCGGTCTAAGTGATGCCCTTGACGATAATACAGGGTTCTATTGTGCCGTCGATTTCTTTATGGCAAAGAGTAGTTGTTCCACGAGCTTTCACCTTTCCCTGCAATTCAGATCTATTCTTCCCTTAGGGAATGATCAGTATCAGTAATTGTTAACAGTAGCTTCATACGGTAAGACACATTATGTCCCTGAAGTTTATTTTTGGCCTTTATCTTATAAAACTAGACTTTGTTGATTTTTTTCCAAGCTTCAACAAAGCTCCTTGTCACCACCTCCCACTATATGTAATTGACGAGATGTCTTTCAATCATGTAAAAAAAAATTTACCAAAGCTATCATCAAAGAAATCTCCTGAAACTCACCCTTTCACTACTTTTTTTAGTAGACAAGCAATCCGAAAGTGTGTCACCTACACTACTTTAAGAACCACCTTTCAGTTTTCGGTTTTGATCGATTTCACTCTCCACTGATGGTCAAAATCGTCTACGATGTCGTCAGAATCGAATTAGAATATAAATTTCTCTCATATTTGATGCTATTCTAAAGCTGTATTGATTACTTCCACATTTCATGTTTTTTCATAAATCAGTGTTGATGGCTATACCCATCCAAACGTTGATTGGCACCTTTTTGTTGACCTTGCTCTTCACTCAGCTCTTCTTCTCATAATCGAGTACAGGGCGTTGGTTCTTCGCTTTGTCTGCTAATTTTTCTTTTTCTTTTGCTTCAATTGTTTACACGTAATTGAACTGGTTCATCAACCCAAACTTCGGACTTGTATGGCAACGTGACCTTTCATATCAGTTTTGAGGAAAGTTTTTAGAATCTCACAAAATCCCTTTACAACCCAAGGTTCAGTTTCCCATCAGTTATTACGCTTACGTACATAGGTGGGTCAATATGATTGTAAATGGGCCGTAAAAGGTTACTTCGAGACAACTTTTCACTACCAAGTTGCAGTCCTACCAAACTCAAAGCCATGGAAAAATCCTTTCAGACGTTGGGATTTGTTTTTGTGGTTTCCTTGAGAAACTAAAAATGGTTCTGTTGTTAAGGTCACAGCCGAACTGTACCATGTTTAGTGGTTACTACCTAGATTTGTTAGCAAGAAGGACAGCCAATGGTGTTTAGGCGCATTAAATCTTCCATCAGAGATAATTTCCGATCTGTAATGGTATTATACTATTAATCGTGTAGACAGTTCTTCTATCGAATGTCTTCATTTCGATTTGTTCCAATGCCCGACCCTCTGTGCTCCCACACTTGAAGGCATAGACAATGAATAGATTGGTGCTCTGCAGATTATGAGCTGGGAAAGGATCAACCATCTAACAGTGGATTGAGAAAGTTGCAGGTTG